CAGTTACTGTTGTGAGGTAACAGTGCCCTCTCAACAGGGAGAAGTGGAAACAGAGTACAAGGAGAGAACAAATAAGCCAAAAACATCTGGATTCAATTATGAAGAAAGATTTTACAATCTCAGTGTGCAACTTCCCACAAATTGCAAGTTGCCAGATGTAGCAAATGAGAATTTAAAGGAAATTCATGTACATAGCTTCAATGTTTCGAAGTGACACATCACTGGTATGACTCCATACCAGTTTTTAGGCATGGTGTTGAGAACTGCTTTATGCTAACACTCTAAGTAATCTCTAGGAATACGGAGCAAAAGCACTTTCCAAAGTCTACCTCCACGGGAAATCTAGGAATCTAGTTGAATTTTTAATTCCTTGGACTGCCTATTTCATGGGATTATATTTTAGCTCTGGATTTGTAGATTTCTTTTTTTTTTTTTTTTTTCTTTTGTTTTTTTTTTGTCTACAGCTGCTAACAGAGCAGTCAAAGCAAGCAAGTCACCACTCACCAAAAATTCCTCACCAAAATACCAGGTAGGTGAAATGGAAACAGGGAATGGAAACAAGACAGCGTGCAACAGAGACATGCAACATTTCTGCCTCAGTCAAGCATCAGAAGTTCCCAAAGAAAAAAGTTTTCCCTATGTAACACCTACTTTTCACCTCTAGGCCAAAGCCAAAGAGTATTTGAGATGGGATATTTATCGTGGTGCAGGTGTTCTGCTGTACTTGCACAAACTTCATACCCTATCACTGGTTAACTCCAAGAACTGCTCTTTCAGTCTTCCTCTGTCACATGTGACAGTTGGTGCTAACTAGCTCAGCAACGTCAGGAGCTAGCACAGAAATGATATCAGAATGTTGAAATTATGAAAAATTGAATGAAATCACACTAATCCACTGTGATGGACCATTACAGGCGAAAACTGAGGTACATCTTCTGTCTTATGAAACACAGTAGGAAAGAATGTGATTAAGCACAAAGAGTTTTCTAGAGGCACTACTAGTTTCTATAGACATCAAATCCATCACTTCTTCAGATTTTACAGCTTAGTTACAGCAGTTCAGAAAAAATTTCTTGTGCATTTTCAATTAAAATTAATTATTAACTAAGAATATTCTAGTGTCTTATAGCGTTACTTTGTCAATTCGAGTACTCATAAGTTCAGATCTGGTGAGAGCAATTAAATTAATTCATAAAAAAGAAAATTAGAGTATGTTTGCAACTGTATTTCCCATGCTCGAATTTCCCATTTCCCATGTTAAAACAGGAAACATGAGCAAGACAAACAACCTTGATCTCTCTTCATAGAAAATGCCTGACAAAGAACAGTACTAATGTCCACTGATCAATGCTGTTTATGCTCATTTGTGCTCAAATGCTATGCACATATTATGAGGAACACAGACTATATATACCAAGAATACAGCAGTTTCATAGCACGTTGAACAGTGGTATATTACTACAGCTAATTTTTATTACAACTCATAAAATGAGGCACTGACTGCTATTTATTGCATAGCCTTCTCCCCCTTACATGAAAACCGACGAGACTGAGTTCACCCAGAGCAGTACTTCCCATTTTACAGCTAATCAAGGCTTATGGTGAAAATTTATATATAGAGAGATTTAAACTCTATCAATGTTTTGGCACTATGACAGTAATTCACAGTTTAAATAAAATCCGTGTATAAATGAGATAAGTTAGCAGCTGTTGCTAACCCACATATCGGTATGAGTCAATCATCAACTATTCCATTCCTTTTTGTGGTTTTTGTCAGTTTTTTTTTTCCCCTCAAAGTATTAATTCTTACATTTGCAAGTTCAGGTTTGGAGCAAAGAAACAAAGTGACCTGGAAAACAGGAGTACAATTCTTCAGTCAGCTCAGGTAGATCCCAACAAGAACTGTATGCTGTGGAAACAAGGCCTAAGTGCTGATGTGAGTTTCCCACAGCTTCTTTTGGCTTTCAAAGCCACATGTGTCATCAGTGTCTCTTAATGAAGCCATACATAAATATCTAACTGGTATAAAAAGATAAAAAATGTTCCACGGAACCTCAATTGAAGTCAGATGTGGAGAAAGCAGAAGCCTGAAATTTACTGTCGTTTTAAGACAGAATAAAAGCATTTGCTAATAATATTTACTCAGTAAATTGTAATACTAAGGAAACCATGCAGAACATTTATAATTTCCTGATGCATCTTACATTAAAGAAACAGGTACTCCATTATTTTGAGATTAGTACCAAATTAGAACCAAAACTTCATTTGCGTTATAATTCTTCTTCTGTTGAACACTGAATTATGGCTATACAGATACCAATCATTTAAATTGTATACAGTAATTTTAATATGCTGTTAATACTTGGGTCAACAGCACAGCACTGGAAGAGGAAACTGAACACTGCAAGTTATAAAGGCATTTAGAATGTGAAAAGTCCTGCATTTCTTACTGCAAATTGTATTGCTTCAGTCTGGGCAAACACAGTCTATACCAAGCATGTAGGGAAGGTAATGTTTTCATAGAAACTTAAGATCATCCAAAAATGCTTTCCTTAATGTGGTCAGCCTCTCTTATAGAACATGCATGGCACATCCAGGGCCTCTACTGAGCACCTCAAGACCAGTTTAAAAATTTGCACTTTGAAGTATTTATACAAACATACTTCATGAAAGCAGCTTTGCTTAGGTAAATAAAATGCCAATGATATAACTTTAGGTGCAATTTGCTGCAGCGCAGGACAAGAGTGACAAAAGTTCCAACCCTTCTGACAACTGTCTGAGTAAAACACCTCTTCAAAGGCTCATGATGAGTCAAGATTTTAAGAGAGTTCCTTTTTTAAAAAAAAATAAAGATATGTATGTTTCCATGTTTGATGCAAATTTATTAGCCAAATGTAATCAACAAATCATTTCATCCAAATCAGTGACTCTATACAACGAATTGCAAAAAGAACTCTTGCATCACAGGAATAAACGTATTGTTTGGTGAAATTCTGTTCAATAGAAAGAAAGGAAATCTTCAATTATTAGAAACCAAACTACAATTCGAAACCTCTTCGAAGAATGAAAGTGCAGAAAGGCAAGTAATTTCTCACCAGAACAGTAGAACAGCCAAACTCTCAATACTCTAATCATCAAAGTTGGCCATACGTGTCTCTTGAAACCTGCCTCACCTTGGGGTTAAAGAGCACCTAATCAAACTCTCAGTATACTTGGTATCCCATTAAAGACATTTTATGGGATTACTACCAAGTAGTATGGCTTATTACTTATGTTGCACTCATTAGAATGCCAGGTATCAAGAACATCTTAAATTGTTCTAGAGAGCACTGATCTTAAATCAATAACATCTAAATTTTAGAGTATTCTTCCTGCTGTGAGCAGCCCAAAAGTAGCCAGAGAAGTCATCTAGCAATCTTCCAACTCAGCTGTATAAACTGTTCATAGATTTTGAGGAATCATCATTCTATTGAGCAGGATTTTATTTTTACTTTATCTGCAAAACAAAATTATACTATGCTTTATTATATAGAACTACTCTGTCTTTCCATCTGTGAGCAATGACATCACTACATAACCTCACTACTGAACTCAAAGATTTTTGAAAGTACTCTAATTCCATCTATTTGTGATAAACTTTGAACTTCACAAAGTTATTTTACAAAATAAACTTCCAGCAGATTCTACATTCTGTAAAGAGTGGCTAAAACTTTATAAAAAAAACACATACACATGCATGCAGTATGAAGCAGCGGAATTAAAAAATTAATACCTGCAAAACAATTTATTACTAACTAGAGCAGAAATAATTCTTTTTAATACTGTCATTAGCTGACTTCTAAGCATCCTACAAGTCCTGTATGGCAGACTACAATCACTCTTATTGCTCATGGGTAGCACCTGGTAAAGAGTATTTGTTTTGCTTTGCTGAATCCCCCTCATATATGCTAAGTTTCTGTAGGCATCACCAGTCTGATTTAAGAGTACATCAAGTATTTTATGGTTTAATGTCTCCAGCATCTGCTCCAATTATTTTAAAAGGTTAAAACATGAAACAGGGAGTCAAGTCACTATTATTCCTGCAAACCTTATTAAGTAAAAGCGTTGAGCCAATTGCAGCTGAAAAAACAGTTACAGCATTTGCACAGGCTACAGTAACTAAATAATCACTTTTTAAAGCCAACTCTGGAAACATCCATGTGATACTGTTGCACCACAATTAAATTATGCTGAGGAGTATAGACTTTCACAGATGGAGGAAGGATTATAAATATTATTAAATGCAACTTTAAGACAGATACCCTTTTTCATTGAAGAGACTCAATATCACAACTTTTAAGACAGGGTATATCTCTCCTAAAAGCAGAACACGCATTTAACTCCACGTTACAACTTCTGTCACTAAATGAATAAATGAACAGCACTGTATTCCTCACACTGCAATCCATGAAGGAGCATAGCTATTGTAATTTAGACCGAGTTAAAATGATAACTCATCTTACACCACATACTACAAGTCAACTCTTTTCTTCAAAATAAACACTTACAAATTCTGATATTAAAAAGTTCTGATGAATTTACAAAAATGTCTAATCTTCAGTCACAACCAGTAGCAAAAACCACCTGGCAACTTGCACAAATGTTGTGGCTATAAGTTCAAAGTGGGCTCTGTGCTATCATGACTACCTACTGTTGGTATACTTTATCAACAGTGCTGCACATTTCTAACTGGCTGTTAAAATCCATCCCATTTTACATCACTGTACATCATCCGCTCTTAAAGGAAAAAAGAAAAGATTCTCATATCAGTATTTCCCATTCTACAACAGTTACAGGACACCTCCTAACTCACTGTATGGAATACACACATGGCTCATGTAAATCATTCTGTAAATCAAACATTAATGCTTGATTCCACCAATGATTCATTTACTCATATGGTTGCACAGCTGAAAATAACCACCTGGTTTTCCTTTAATATCCAAAGCAGGTTTTCTTACCTCAGCAGCCTGCGTCTCTTGATGTAATAAAGTTAGACCTGTCAAGTCTTCTAAGAAGGAATGCGAGGAATTAAAAACTTTAGCTAGGAAATTAAATCCTTCACGTTCATATTGGTCGAGGACCTGTCAAAAAAACAAATGAATAGACAAACAGAAGAGGATTTAAAATAAATGATTCATCATCTTGTTTTCATCACAGAATAAAAGTAAATGTTTTCTGAGCATTTGGAAGATTAATACACACTGCACACAGGTAAAAATTACAGAAGAATGATCATTTCTTTCACTTCAGTTTCTAAGTGTGGGAAAAGTGGAGGTAAGAAGGAAGAAACGTGATGTTTAACGTTTTCTGCTTTAAAGGCATTTTTAAGTGTATAACAAAACAGATGACACAGAAAAAACAAAATCGTATTCCAACGTCATGAAAGGATTTGAGTTACATAAAACACAGCAGAATATTGTTCCAACGTATCACTTAACTAAATGGTAAGGCTCTAGCAGAACAATTCTGTGTAAAACACCAAATACGCATTTATACAGAACACCGCTGCAGAGAATGCAGATGTCCATTCTTTCACAGTATATATTCTATCTCCATTATTTTGTGAGAGAAGCAGAAAGTTGCACAGCTAACATATTCCTTAAAGATATCCACTCTCACTGGATGGACAAGTTCCCTGCAACTGGTGGAACTCACTTCCTCCAGAAAAGAAAGAAAAAGAACAACTGGAAGCACTGCACTTCTAACACACAACCTAACCAAGCAAGCTTTATTCCAAGGTTTGAAACAAACAGGCAATCCCTGTCCTCCTGGCCCCCAAATCATTTATTCTTCAGACAGTAAGAAAAAAAATTGAAGGGAATGGTGGTGGACAAGAAAATGGTTTCGGTATGTATTCATTTATCTCAACCAGAATTACAACTTACACTCAACAATCTCACTCTCTTGTAATTTAACAACTCCTAAAGGCCTCAGATAATCTTAAAACTGTGGGAACTTGCACAGTCAACAGCATTCTTCAGAAAAACAGGTCCAGTGAGCTCTTCCCCAAGTCCTACAGGAATTCGGGCTTGTCTCAAAAAACCACTTACATTTTGCTGATAGAATTGTTAGAGTATATATAAAAATATATATATATGTGTGAAAAAATGTCTATATAATATAAACAATATATATAGGTGAAAAAGAGTTGGCTCCTCATTTAGTCAATCACACTAAATGCCCACTTAAGAGCAAAAGCACCGATTCCATACTTAGGTTCCAAAACGTACTAACAGAATCAATAGAAATAACCATAAAGAGTAAGAAGTCAGATGTAAGCAACTGTGACAAATGTTTGGCATGTTCTTACACATGATATACGCATCTGAAAAAAATATTACAATAAAACTGCACTTTGAGTTCTTGTACTACATCTGGAGAAACTGCTCCTTATAAAGATTCTTTTTACTCTATTCAGCTTTTTGTGCATTTGTGCAATGACCAATACGTGTGACCAGAAGTGAAAAAACAACAAACAGAAAAAATTGCTTAGCTGTATTTCATGGGACTGCATTTTTTTGTTTGCATATTCCTGAGACAAACACGCTAAGACAAACTGTACGTGATGCAATGCAGAGATTTCAAAAACTGCAGTATCCACTTGATAAGCATCCTCCTAATATTATCCACTATACACACTGTGAAATTACAGTACAGGTAAGTATATATATTTTGATGACTATTTCATGTTCCAAAACTCTATAATACCAGATGTGCTGAGGTGTCTTGCATTTGGCTCTTTGTGAAACGCTGCATACACACCACAGCTTATAAAACTTTGGTTACATTCACAGTCTTACCTGTTTGGAATCTGTGAAGCTAGCAGCATTATCAAATGTGTTGCTATTACTGATATTTGTTGGAATCACAATACAGAACTCAGGAGGCATCTTTTTAGTGATGTTGGCCAGGTTACAGGCATATTAAAGGTTTTATGCCAGGTTTAATGGCATATTAAAACAATATACAGAAATGAAACCATAGTCACATTCTAAAACATTACAGCATGTAATAGTCTCTCCCCAAAGGTAAAACCTACAAAAGGCATACACTGTTGGGATATGCAAACAAACAGAATGAAACGGGAAAAGGAGTGCACCCATACTATGTACCATTACAAATGTCTATTGAATAGCCCTCCAATCTTGTTTATTGTTACTCAGGTAAACATGCCTTGATCCTCATTTCCAAAGAGCCACGACTCAAGCCTGAAGCGCAAATTTCCAGGTATTGCTTCCTCATTGCTTCAATCTGCCAGGGTCCTCCGTATAAACTGCTCTGGTTTATGACATAAATATGCATAACCTTTCTGCGTTCCTTGCCACAGCTGTAAATGAATTCTCACATACTCAAATAAAGCAGGCCGCATGACTGCACTGACATTTAAAATGTTTAAGGTGAGTTTTGGATGAATCAACTGGAATTTTTTTTCTTCAATCCTAGTATTGTAATTACTGCGGAAGAGGCTAGGAAGTCTCTCATGAAGTGTCTTTCAAAATGCACATTAGGAAAACATCAGTAAGATCACAAAACTATGAGTCAAAGGGGTATAATTTTTGTACCCAGTGAATTGAACCTTTGGGTTTTTGGGTTTTGTTTTTAAGAAGTTATACAGGAATATTTTACGTGCCCGAAGTTTTGCATTATGGAAAGAGCTGAAAATTTACCTCCCCACAAAAAAGAAACTTCATTAAATCACATTCTAGACTTCCTACAGCATTATGACGGCAAACTTGTTAAGGTAACAAGTCTGGCTGAGGAAAGATGCTATCTCAAAAATCTAAGCCTATGATAACAAAGAGTATTTTTCTTGTATTAGCAAGAATCTGAAGAAGTCTGAAAAACTTTACTAAAAAAATGTACTTGCTGTTAAACATTTTTACAGTGGGAATGGTCTGCTGAATGGAATAACTGCTAATTAGCTTTAAAATGAAAATTCCAGCCATGTGACTCAGAGAAAAAGCTATCGAGGAGTCAAAGAACGACCAGGCAGCATCATTCAGCATGCCACATGAACAGGGGCTGCACCATTAAAGGTAGCATACACTGTAATGAAATAGTCTTAATGTAGGCAGCAATTGAAACAACATTTTTGCCATCTTCAGGGACTTTATTTCTGAAATCAGATGATTAAAACTTTACAATAAATACCACAGAAGGAATAAACATTAACCTGCCCATGTCTAGCCTTTAGTATGCAAGTTTAGTGACACCTGTCACCTGATGAATGTAACACGGCATTGGTTTGTCCAGTCGTCACTGAACATACCTCAAAAGGAGAAAAGAACAGAGTAAAATACAACTCATCTCAAATTCATGTGCCAGAAGACCACACAGGCACACTCTGCAGGTTGTCAGGAATAAAGCCAGTCTAGACATCAAGTAGCAAAAAAAAAACCAAAAAAACAAAAAAACAAACAAACAACAAAAAAGACTTAAAACATTTCCAGACTTAATCGACGCCCTATTTGGAGCTGTGTGGAAAGGAAAATTTCTCCTCCTTAATCATGCCCAGCAGAGTCCAAATGCCCAAACTCCTAATTAGCTGAGTTTGCTTTTTAATTCTTCTCTTCACTGCTAACAGCATACTTGGTACCAGTTACCATCTGAATAACTGCTTTCCAGAAGGACAGACACTTGAGAGATGTTATTTTTATTATTATTGATCTCAAAGTAATGACTCTATGACAGCAAAATGAAATAAGAACCCTTAGGATTTTTTTCTGGGAATAAATGTATCACTGTCCAGTCATAACGCTGATGTGTCACCATGTAACAATAAATTTTCTCAAGCAGAAAAAACTGCAAAGCAGCAAAAAAAAGAACTAGAAGTAATAATTCTTCTGCTGAGCAAGGCCAGCTGGAACAATACAGATTTATTACAGAACCCTCATCTTTTTCTCACTTGCAAGTCACTTTTCAAAGATCAAGAGGAGAATTAGACAGTAGCAAACCTTATGTGCATTCTGTCTGTGAAAATTACTCTCAGGAGGGCCCAACAAATTTTAACATCACCTTCTTCTCTACCACATTCAAATCCCCTCCCCTGTTGACACCACAGCCTTGATTTCAGTCTCCATTTCACAGAATCAGGGCTACAATTATTATTATTTCATACACAATAGCACTGTAATAGGTGTGGACACACTTCTTCGCAAGTTAATGCATTCCTAAAGACTTTTCTGAGTCGATATGTATCAGTTACATTTTCTTAGCAGTCATTTTATTCTTGTCTGTTTACCAATGGGGAAGAAAAAAAGAGAATCTCATGGTAGGAGAAAGAAACGGAAGGCCTGAGAGTAAAAACTTATTCCAAAATGAGAAACAGATGTACAGCTTTGGTGTTATATTCTTTTTAATAGCATTCTTTACAAAGAATTGCTCAGTAAAATGGCATTCAAAAAAGAGAATCTGGCTCCAGGAATGCTTTGTAGGACAAACGTTACTATATAGCTACAGAAGCATACGAAAACCCTTAATCACAACAGGCTGACGACTCATGTAATACTGGATCAATTCTGTCACAAATTTTTAGTGTTGTGTTTTTTTTTGTTGTTTTTTTTTTTGTTGTTGTTTTTTAAACCAGTATTTAAGTATCAAGCATATTTAGAGCCTGGGTATTGCTTTGCTTCCACAAGAAAATTTACAGGTTAATATTAGTATAATTATTGTAAAAAAAAAAAAAAAAAAAAAAAACCATGGATAACATACCTCAAAAACAATAAGGCTGCTATGTTTAACTCAGCTTTCAAAGCCTCCCTCTCAAAGGTAACAAACATGTACAAACCCAGATATATTTCTGCAGACTGTTGTCTATCTATCAGAGACAGTGGAGAATGAGCAGAACATTAGAGAGAACCTCAGCATGCTGAAAACAGAAATTTTGGTTTCAACATCTGCCTGGAAAATTAGATAAAAACAAGTTGCCGGATTTCAAACTTTTCAAAGCCGGATATAACTGCAGTTAAAACAGAAAATTTAGCAGAAGACTATAAGGCTGTGGAGAATTCTCTTAAGTGAGGAGGCAGTACGATGAAGTACAAGAGCCATCACAATGGGTGCAGGCAGTTGCAAAGGCGAC